AGGGGAGGACGAGACGAGAGGGAACGGAGCAACATAGGGTGGGAGGGCAGGACAGGAGAGACGGGACGGGCACGTGAGGGACGACGAGACCAAACGTGGGACGGAGGTGTAGGGTCAGGAGACAGCGGAGGGGACACAGGAGGGAAACGAGGAGGAAGACGGGCCGGAGACGAGTCCGGCGGCGGGAACACAGGACCGTAGACAGGAAGGTCAGCAGGCGGTGGGGGAGACACCGGCGAGCGGTCAGGGGAGGGAAGGCCGAGCAGACGGAGAGCGGAGACCGGCGGCGACGGCTGCTGGGGCTGCTGCGGCGGCTTTGCCGCGACCCTCGGACCGGCAGAACTCTCAACGGCAGCACCCCCAGAACCAACACCCCCAGAGCGAGAACACCCTCCAGCACCAGCGGCACCCCCAGGCCCGCCGGGACAGAGCACTCCAGGCGCGGCAGGACGAACACCCTCCTCGACGCTAGCACCCCCAGGGGCCAAGGGCGGCAGCGGCGGCGGCGGCGACGGCGGCTGCAGCGGCTGCGGCGGCGGCGGTGGCGGCGGTGGCAGCGGCAGGGAAGGCGGAGACACCGGGGAAGGGGGACGCGGCAGGGACGGGCCGGGGGACCACCAGAGTCAGCTGACTCCTCAACTGGGACAACTGACGGGAGGGGAGTGACGTGAGAGACACCAGACGGGGCAGGACGAGGCGGGAGAGGAGCAGGGGCTACCGGGGGAGAGGGAGCAAGGAAGAGGGGCGGGGCAACCGGGAGACCTCGGTGAGGGAAGCAGCGGTAGAAGGAGACAGACTCGTCAAAGGTGACGTCACGGGAGTGGAGGAAGCGGTGAGACGGCGGGTGGTAGAAGAGCCAGTCAGACGAGTCTAGGGGGAAACCGAGGAAGACACAGGGGACAGTGCGGGCCGTGAGCTTGTCCGTACCAGAGGCACGAACGTGAGCAAGGCAACCCCAGACGTGGAACGCAGACGCGTCACCGGGGGACCCGGTCCAAAGGAGGGTCGGCGAAACCTGCGGCCGCTGGGAGCGGGGCCACAGGTTAAGCTGGTGAGCAGCGTAGCGGACAGCGAACGGCCACAGAAAATGGGGGGCATCGGCATGGATCATGGAGGTACGAGCCACCTCCATGACCAAACCGATGCGGCGCTCAGCAACCTCATTCTGCTGTGGCGAGTCCGGCAAGGTGTACGACTGGGTGATGCCCTCCGCACGACAGAACTGTCCAAGCCGACCAGAGGCGAACTCACCGCCACGGTCAGAGTGGAGACACAACACAGGGAGACCACGGTGAAGACGTGCAGCCACAACCCACGGGAGAAGAACGTCGGGCACGTCGGCCTTCCGCTCCAGGGGAAACACCGTGGTGTAGCGCGTGTAGTCGTCGACGAGCACAAGAAAGTAGCGCTCACCGCGCGGTCCGGGGACGGGGGCCGGGCCCCAAACGTCCAGGTGCAGGGTCTGAAGGGGGGCAGTAGCAGGACGCAGCGAGGAGGAGTGAGGAGCACGGCGGAGCCGGCCCTCGACGCAAGGCGTGCACGGTGGCGCAGTCGAGGGTGGGAGGGCAGGGAGCGACGCGGGGAGGCCTAAGACAAGACCGTGCTGAGACATGTGACGCAGACGTGGGAGAGCAGGGTGACCTAAGCGGTGGTGCCAGAGAAGGGACGGGTGAGTGAGGGACCGACACGAGCAAGCTGCAGCGACATGGGAGGACGCACCAACCGGGGGGGAAGCGTTGTCGAGGGTAAACAGACCAGACACCGGGTCCCGGGGGAACGTCGCAAGAGGGGAACCTGAGACTGCCTCGGTACAGACAGCGAACCGCTCGTGCCCGGGGAACGTGGTGGTGACGCCGAGGTCCTGAAGACGGCCGACACCAACCAGGTTCCTGGAGAACGAGGGAACGTGGAAGCCTGTAAGAGAGCCCGAGGGAACGGCTGGACAGGGAAGGGAAGTGGAACTGCGAGCGACGACAGGACTGGCAGAGGGGTCAGCGAAGGAGACAACCGCAGGTGCAGCAAGCGGCGTGAGCGTGGACCGGTCACGGAAGAAACAGGCAGAAGCACCGGAGTCGAGCGTGAAGGACAGCGAGGCAGTGGCAGAGGCCGGGGACGGGGCGGGTGCAGAAGCTAGGCTAGGCAACCTAGGCAGTCCTACGCCTGACGCAGCAGGGGAAGCTAAGCTACACAAGGGTGAAACACCTAAACTAGAGTACACAGGGTAGTAAGATCCAGCAACACTAGAAGCGTCAGCATACAAAGCATGCAAAGAAGCACCTATCTGATCCATGTCTAACTCAAAGATCGGCACGCCCTGGCGGAGCAGGCTGTGCCAGTCAGGGAGGTCCGGGGCCGGGCCAAAGCGACGACGAAAAAGATCGTCGAGGCGGCGGAAACAGCGGGCGGTCGGGTGCGGGCGGCGGCACAGAGTGCCGCGGAGAGGCCCTGTCTGAAGCTGGTACTGGCAGGTCACAGCACTGGAGCCGCTGGTAGACGCCAAGCTGCGCGGGCCGCCACCACGGCCACCGCCTCCGGAGGTGCCGGGCCAACCAGGCGGGAGACGAGCCCACGGCTGCGGCGGGTGCTGCTGGGACGGCGGCAGCGGCTGGGGCTGGTCCTGCTGCTGCTGGGGCTGCTGCTCCTGCCCACCGGTGGTAGTCCCCTCAGGCGGACTACCGTCACCACCACCACGACCACCACCACCTGCGTCACCACCCCTACCTCCCTGGCGGCCACGGCCACCGCGACGCGAGGGCTGCTGCGGGTGGACAGCAGCAGCCGTCTCGGTAAGACGGGTCGCCGTGGCGACCGCAGCCGAAACGTCAGTGAACGTGCACTGGGATGGGGCACAGCCGTGAAAGATAGAGACTGCCGGCGCACCGCTCGACTGAGCGATAGTGCGCTGGCGAGTCTCGATCTCAGTGAGGGTGTCGACAAAGGCGGTCAGGGTGAGGTCACCCGGGTGCTGGCTAAGAAAGTGGTCGCGAGCACTAGCGAGGCGGTCTGGCAGGCGCATAGCGATAAAATAGAGCGTCATGCAGAAAGGAGGGGGGAGCGCAGTGAGCTGGGCAGCAGTGCTGGCAGTGCGATAGCAAGTCTCTAGGGCACGCAAATGAGTGGCAAAGTCTGCGACAGTAGGGAAGGCAGCCAGGTCTGGGAACAGCATCGGAAAGAGCAAGCGGCCAGCAGAAGTGGAGGCAGGGGTGGAATAGCGAGCAATAACGGCGTCTAAATAAGCTTTGGCCGTTTCAACAGTAGCAAAACGCGAGCGCTCAGACACAGGGAGGGCGTGACTAATAGCAACCTGAGCTACTGCATCGCGTGAGTCCTAGACCGCACAGGCCAGCGCAGCAATAGAGAAAGCCTCACGATCATCAGAGGAGGGGTCAGCAGGGAGGGGAGTAGGTGCAGGGGGGCGGGGGAGCAAGCCATCAGCATGGACAACCAGAGAGTGGCCATCCTGGCGCTGACCTGTAAGCTGGCGGCGGAGATCGGAGAGCCAGGCGGCGAAGTCAACCGCGTGGCCCTCAGCGTCCAGGCGGAGCACAAAGTCAGCCATCGTGCAGGGTCAGCGGCACAGCTCCTCAGCGACACAGCGGCACAGCTCCTCAGCGGCACAGGAGCACAGCGGCGCGGGGACACGGCGGCAGCACTCTCCAGTAGGGCAACGGCTAGGCGTCCCAGCGCAGGCGAGCAGAAGACACAGGGCCCGAGAGGACACGGCAGGCCGAGCAGGGGAGGCAGGCAGGTGCTCTGGGGCCGGGCTGGTGCTGGGAGGGGCCAGGCTGGTGCTGCTGGGGCCGGTCGGGCACGAGGAGGGGCCGGGCAGCGCTGAGGAGAGGCCGGGCGGCGCTAGGAAGGGGGCCGGGCGGCACTAGGAGGAGGCCGAGCGGCACTAGGAGGAGGCCAGGCGGGCGAGCGCTAACAGCAGGCGCGACAGGGGCCAGCGGGCGCGACGAGGCCTAAGGGGCGCGACGGGGCCCAGCGGGCACGACGGGGCCCAGGGGGGGCGCGACGGGGCCGAGGAGGCGCGACGGGGACCAGCGGGCACGACGGGGCCCAGGGGGGCCGCGACGGGGCCTAACGGGCGCGACGGGGCCCAGGGGGGCGCGACGGGGCCTAGCAGGCGCGACGCGGCCTAGGAAGCGCGAAGGGGCCCAGCGGGCGCGACGGGGCCGAGGAGGCGCAACAGGGCCCAGCGGGCGCGACGGTGCCCAGAGGGGGCGCGACGGGGCCTAGGAGGCGCGACGGGGCCCAGCGGGCACGACAGGGCCTAGGAGGGGCGCGACGGGGCCGAACGGGCGCGACGGGGCCCAGAGGGGGGAGACGCGACGGGGCTTAGGAGGCGCGACGATGCCTAGGAGGCACGACGGGGCTCAGCGGGCTCGACGGGGCCCATGGGGGGCGCGAAGGGGCCTAGGAGGCGCGACGGGGCCCAGCGGGGGCGCGTTAGGGCCTAGGGGTCGCGACGGGGCCCAGCGGGCGCGACGGGGCCCAGGGGGAGCGCGACGGGGCCTAGGAGGCGCGACGGGGCCCAGCGGGCACGACGGGGCCCATGGGGGGCGCGACGGGGCCTAACGAGCGCGACGGGGCCCAGGGGGGCGCGACGGGGCCTAGGGGGCGCGACGGGGCCTAGGAGGCGCGACGGGCGGAAGCGGTAGGCGGGGGGATCCTAACCTAAGCGTGATACCATGTTAACGTAGAAACGAATGAATTACTAGGAAGAGAAACATAGAACAAATACCAGTTGGTTGTACTCACTAGAAGCACACACCTAGTCTAGCCTATAACTTCTACATAGATAATATGTATAAGTTGACACATGGGACTAGAAGGCATGTTTGTCAGTGTCTGGCAGATTTCATATGTCGTCGAGTACAGTACAGCAATAATCTGGGGATATACCCTCTATTGAAAATTCTGCAGGGTATTACATAGGCCAACTCTGAAAAATCAGAGAAAACATATAATTTCAAAAATTACCCAGAGGCGAAAGGGTGGTACGCAAAACCAACTCTGATTTTCAGAGAATCAGAGTAATTTACTCGTGAAAAATAGGCACTGCTTGAGACAATGCCCGTGATGTGATATCCATAGTTCATTACAATGTTGCCCTTTCATCCACAGCCTAAGTACAGTACGTTACATCACCTAAGGCTCATCGCCATGCCTGCCATGGCAAGGCTTTATTGCAAGCGAACACTGGGATGGTAGCATGGAAGTGAGGAACAGGCGGATCAGCAGCGCCACAGCAGAGGCGGTGACAACCATGGCGACGAGAAGCTGATGGTTTGCGCCGGCCGCTCAGTTGGTGAGGATGAGTGGGCGCATCATCTCGTTGTCCTCGTGCTCCACGATGTGGCAGTGCCACACATAGCCCGGGCCAAGTGTTGCGTCAAAGGGGAAGGGCGTGCCATCCTGTATTCAATCACATGCACGACAGTCAGTCAGTTGGCCACGCCGAGCAAGCGTTGCTATTCAGAAGATCCACTTAGTGCAAGCTATTGACCCCAAGCCTCACGCAAGCATTTTCTTTTTGCACGATTTATTTAGAATTTTGGAGTTCCAAGTGTTCTCTGTCTGAAATATCAAAGGAGCGAGTGCAACGCATAGAGGAAGTGTGCAGTGCCTCACCTGGGAGTACCAGGGCGTCCAGAGTGTGAGCACATGGCCGGGCGGCAGGATGGTGGTGTCCTTCCAGCCCCTCTCATATGCCGCCACGCGCTGCTCCCTGCCGGTGAAGCAGGAGGGCAGAGACGCATTGGTGAAGGAGCACGCGCCGCCGGTGAAAGCCGCCACGTCGAAGGGGCGGCGCGACACGGGGCGGTGCTGAATGAGGTGCAGGTGGATGGGATGGGCGTCGGGCGTCATGTTGATCACATGCCACAGCTCCTCCGAGCCCTGCTCATGGCACGGAGGAGGAGACGAAGACAGTTCGGGGTGCTTGAAATGTCAATCAGATGCCACAGCTCCTCCGAGCCCTGGTCATGGCACATAGGGGCAGAAGGAGGTGACGGACCGACCGACAGAGAACATGCAACGGGGTAACGCAAGGACACGCACTAGCGCGATCGCATCCAGTGGGTGGCTTATGATGCGTGTGGTGTGGCTTCTCCAATCTGCTCATCACACAGCGGAATGGGGCACTACAATGGGGAAGGAGCCAGTTGGGGTGGGGTGCATGCAGCTGCTAGCCACACCCCCACCTCACCCCTTCAAGACCAGAGCCACCTGCTGAGGAGTCTCCGTGGGCGGGTCCATGCAGGCACGGTGGTCGAACGTCAGGCGCACAGGCAGACCTGAGGCAGGGTTTAAATCCTCATAGCAGCAATCCACTCACCCCCACCGCTCACCCCCACCGGCCCCTCCCAGCGCTCACCTCCCTAGGGGTCTCGGTGGGCGGGCCCATGAAGGCGTGGTGGTCGAAGGTGAGGCGGATGGGCTCGCCCGTGGCGGGGTCCGACTCCTCAATGGCCGCGATCCAGCGCTGCAGCACCACCTGTGAGGTGTTGATGGGGGGAACCGACTGGAGGGGGGGGCGGGAGGGGTGCACAGGGACGGATCACAGGGGTGGGGCGAGATGGAGAGAGGATAAGATGCAGTGAGGGGAGAGGGGAGCGATGACGAGCACAGCGAAAGAAAAGCCATCTAACAATCTAGCAGCAAGCACAAGGCTCACCACGAGCCTCCTGGGAATGCGCGGGGCGGGCACAGCATCGCCCTCCCAGTCAACAATGAAGCGCATGACCACAGCCGTGTCGTTCGTCACAGCCTCGCCCGCAGGGAAGGGCGCAGGGGCGTCATTGGTGAGGATGACGTCAGCACAGGAGGAGCGCAGCGCGGAGAAGTCCACGAGGATGTCGTGGCGCTCAGCGGGGGCCACCAGGAGAGAGGTGCGGCTGACGGGGCGGGGCAAGTACCCACCGTCGGACCCGATCTGGTGCGTGTGGGAGGGAAGGGGGGAAGACATAGTGGGATGTGATGATGATGACGAGCCTACTGGTGGTGCTGGCCTGGGAGACGCGCAGAGAGGTGCGCCATCTGATGTGTGTGGGAGGCAGGGTCACCTTTGAACCCAATCTAATGTGCTTTGGGGTGCATCCCAGATTCGTGTCAAGCTTCGGGTCAGACGCGGAAGGCACGGAAGACTGAAACATGCATAGCGATGATGGCATGCCGTACTTGAATGATTGGAAGCTTCTTTCCGGTAAAAGGGGGAGCAAAGTTCGGGTAGTTGCGCTTGGTGGTGCACACGAAGCGCAGGTTGAAAAAGCGTGCATTGGCTGCTCCCAGCACTCGGAAGCGGTAGAGCGCCCTCCTCACATTCAGGTACGGCCACACCTGGAGGGACATAGCGAAGGGAAAGTAAGAGAAGGGGGGGACGATTGTGGGAAAAAGCGAGGTGGTGAGGGAAAGTGCTGGAAGAGAAAGGAACAACGAACCCGAATAACACTTCATGGGAAGTGTCGTCAAGTCAGTCAAAGAACAGCTGTGATGAAGAGACGCTTAATCAAAGGCTTCATACTGCCTTCTCTCTTCCTCCCGTCAGCACAACGACCCACCTTGCCGGTGACGAGGATGGTGTCTCCAATGTACTCCGGCACCCAGTGCGCGTGCACGCGCCGCACCACCCCCACCGTGGGGTAGTCAATGGACCCGTTGGCGTGGAAGCGGCGGTCCGCCAGTGCCAGCGGCACCGAGAACTCCCCAGAGGGCAGCCACCCCAGGGTCCTCTCCACGCCTTTGGGGTCGGTGAGGATGAAGAAGCCCGCGAGGCCGGCGGCCACGTTGAGGCGGGTCATGGCGATGGTGTGGTCGTGGTACCACAGCGTGGTGGGCAGCTGGTGGTTGGGGTAGCTGTACCGCCGCGAGCTGAAGGCGCGCCCCACCTCACCGCGCCGCGTGAACCACGCCTCGGGATGGCCGTCCGAGCATGACAGCTGCTCGCCCCCGTGCCGGTGGGTCACTGGAGGGGAGAGAGAGGGGATAACGTTGTTAAGTGAAGAGTCATCAAGAAGTGCAGGCAAAAGGGACGTGAGGGGACGTGAGTGGAGGGGAAGACAACGACGAAGCCGCATGCAGGTTGGCATGTAACCAACCAGAATTGCTGACTTGGAGCAGAGTGCGTGACTTGGCCTGAAAAACCCCCCACACGGTACTCACCGATGGGAACTCCCCCCAGCAGCAGGCGAGGCACGTCCTCAAGGGTGTAATCCACCGGGAACATGTGGTGGCGGTCCGTGAGGTGGTTCTCCCACACCACCTGCCAGGGGAGGGAGACACGGGAGATGAATGCAAGAGAGGAACGCACATGCACATGCACTGAATGCGACATCAGCTACTCCGCTCACTGTTGCTGGCGTCCAACATGGTCCGGCTCACCTTCCCTGGCATTGCTGATGCATTGCTATGTGCCACTCTCTCTGTCACACCAGCTCTCACCCTGCAGTGCAGAACACACCTTATCACACGAACCCAAGCCAAGACAAAGCATCATCCCTGGGATAGACACGGCAGCAGCAGCCACAGCAAAGTACCTGCGAGGGCACCCCTCGCCGCGTCACGAGCGTGGGGCCCGGGTAATGCGCGCTGCTGGCACTCCGCCCATACGCGTACAGCTTCGTGGGCGGCAGGTCGCGGTGCAGCTTCTGCAGAAGTTGGGGGGAGAGGGGGAGGGGAGGGGGCCACAAGGGTGGGCAAAAGCGGTTTAGAAGTAGGAGGTGCTGCGAGAGAGACGGCGCGGGCTGGTAAGCCAAGGCATGTCAACTGGAGACGATAACGTGCAGGCTAGAGAAGCGGGAGGCGGGGAAGAGGAGGGAGGTTGGGAGCATGAGAGCGGGGGAAGAGGAGGGAGGTTGGGAGCATGAGAGCGGGGGAAGAGGAGGGAGGTTGGGAGCATGAGAGCGGGGGAAGAGGAGGGAGGTTGGGAGCATGAGAGCGGGGGAAGAGAAGTTGGTGTGACGGGTGCGAGGGGCGGTTGGGGGGAGGTGGGGTGGCAGGAGGGGAGGGGGGGGAATGAACCGGCGAGAGGCAGAAGAGAAATGGAATCATGAAAAAGAGAAGTCGTGGCCGCAAAGAGAGAGTGAGGGGAAGCGGGAAGCAATGAGCCCAGGCGTGGCGACTCGCCTGGCGGATCTGGTAGGCGCCGATGCGGATGGGCTTGCCGGTGGACGCGTCGATCTGCTCGGGGATGGACGGCCGCAGGTCGTCCACGAACTTGCACAGCCGGGGGAAGGCGCTCACGCACGACGGGCCCGCTAGAGGCGCTCCCGATACGCGCACGAGCAGCAGGGAGCACGCAGCGACGGCTGCCGCGAGGAGAAGCGCGAGACGGAGACGCGGCGGCAGAGGCACAAGGCGAGCCATGGCGGGCGGTGAGGGCAGGGGAGCGGTGGGGGCAGAGCAGCGACAAATGCCAAAGAATGGCGACAAGGGAAGGAATTGCACTCAGTGCGCGCGAACGACCAATGAGCTCTGCGACGACGCTCACAGGGCCGGGCCTATTTGAAGCCTCGAGCAGCGGCAGCTGATAAGGGGTGCGGAGACCCATCTCCCCGAGCAATCGTGACCGTCGGTATTCAAGCTTGGTCGACGACGGTGATTGCACGAAGCGGCCGCGATTCGAGGCGGTATCACGGCACCGCTTGAACGGACGGAATGACATATCTGATTCGAAAGGCAATTATGACCGTCAGTGTCTAAGCTTATCGACGGTTGCGATTACACCAAGAAATTCCGCGACTCGAGGCGGTATCATGGCACCGCATGAACGGACGGAAGGGCATCTCTCCGCGGAAGCACACGAGACACAGTGACGGTAAACGTCGTCCGTCTCGTGCGTGTTGGGTTCGCAGCAGGCAACAGTCGAGTTTCCTCTCTCCGCGCAGACGTGCTAATGGCCACCTCGCCATGATTTCCGTCTGAATCACAAATCCGACTGCTACTGACCGCGCGATGCGGTGGTTAGACCTCGGAATTGGATTGGGTGATGGCAGCCATTGCTGAGCAACCTCACTGACATATTTTATGTGTTCGGTATGCTCGGATTCGTTTGAGACGCGAACTAGCATCCGTAGATTAGCTGCTTATGGAGTTTCACGATATGATAAGTTGGCTGAAACCTGATCCTACAGCCATTGTCGAAACTACAAGTTTTCTAGGAGTTTGTATTTAACTCCTATATTAAAGGAAATTTCACAAACCAAGAAATAGCATCCCATGCAAGGTCTCATTAATCAGACAGAACTTGGATTTTGGTCTGAAAATCATACTGGTTTTTTTTGCTTTATTATTTTATTGGGGAAAATAATTTGTCTGAACCTTCATATGTGGTACACGCTTCCATCTGATTTTTTAGAGTGTATACCTACACAACACACCCGGATAATGACTAGACTCGCTAAACTGAAAGATCGGTTGAAATAAGTTAAGGATTATTTCATGAAACCTCTTCTTTTACAGTCATTCATAAGACTCTGAAACAAGAATAAAATAAAATAAGAGATTAATCTATACAATTTTGTATCGAAGGTTGTTCGAAGAAACACATGAGCATTCTTGATAATATCCCTACATAAGAAGCACACCAACTCTTACAGTACCTGCACATTTACTGTACCGTATAACCTCATATAGAGGATGCGGGCGGGTCGCAAGTGTTAAATTATATAGGCTTGGTAGGTGTTACTGAAACCTACAGTAGAGGGTACAACCCCCCTCCTTGTATGCCTCTCTCTTCTATTCTCGATCCCTTTTCTCTCCTCAACTTTCCTAGCCTAAAACCTCTCGCCATTTCTATGGCTTCCCTCCTACCTAGATCCTAGCTTACTTTAACATCAACAATCATCCGAGTCAACGTTTGAACTGTGTAAGCGCGAGGCTGCAACGAGAAGTTGCGACACTGAGGATATAGTGCCAAAACTCAGTCACCTACCACTGAGTTAAAAGGGCGTGTTAAGTAGCGGGTCAGTGCGCCCACAACCCCCAGGCAGAGAGGCCTATAGCAGGGTTCCTGCTGAGTTCTAGGGCTGTCTGAGAATTAGACGAGGTTTCAAATTCCGTTTGACCATCAGACGAGCTACCTGGGCTGGTCTGGATTTTCAGACGAATTGTCCAGCATCATCTGAGCTTCTACACGAAAACTTCACAATAAACTACAGTAGTGTGGTGATGATGTGCCACGCGGCAAAAATATTCCGCGGGTGGCAGGTTTGAGGCCTGATAACACACGTGGCTGAGTGGCCAGAAGGGCATGGACTGCACCAAATTCGCAAAATGGGGGGGGGGGGGGGGGGGGGGTGAGGGGGGTGTTTGGGTTGAAACCAGTTTACAAGGTGGGCGCAATGTACCGCCCACCAGAGTAGGAGGAGAGTGGGTGAATTGTCGAGATCATGATCGTTGATCGACAAGATATTTCTCAATTGTGTGTTGCGATTGTCTTTGCCAGCACATTCTCGCCAGTTCCGAGCGGTTTTGATTGGCTATACAGGAGAATGGCTTCCTGTGCTTGTGCCCAGACTTCGCGACCAATGAGACTCCTTTTCTACGAAAATATTTTCGCACCCACTTCCTTTTCTTCTCCTTCTCATTTTCTCCTTTTCCTATGCTTGTGAGTCTAGACAGAGCCCCGTAGGAACACGCTCTCAGACTGAAAATATGCACGCTATCTGAAAATTCAGACGTCTGCCTATACAAATTCTGAGAATTCAGATGGATTTATATAACCAAAATGGTCGTTCAGATGAAAATTTATGGGCTGTAAAAACATCAGATGACACGGGAAAAGTGAGTCTGATTCTCAGATGAGCAGACGGATTTCGTCTTGTAATGGGAACCCTGTAGCCCTTCCCCAAGGATCTCAAGGACAACCCCAGCGGGTCTCTCGACATATAGAAAGAGGTTCCGCTAGAGGTTTCTTAAAGATGTTACTTCAGAATAAGCACCTCTCATATTGTACGTATTGCACTAATCATTGTATTATCCTTAACTAAAACCTACTGTTCTTACAGCACAAGGATCACTAACTCATCCGCTAATTTCAACTCTTACGAGTTCCATATAATTTTGGTCCTTGGGTAAATCTCTATATGTATATATTACTTGTACATGGTATTCTGAGGCTCGGCCACTTCATCGTCAAAGGCTGACGGACCGTCGTCGAGCAGAAGCCCAGCCAAGGTGCACGGAATGTGCTGTCCAGACGTCATGGCACACTATCTCGCCACCAGTTGTTGCCTCTTTCTTATCGCAACCTGCACATCATACAAGACGGATAGCCAACTGCATGATTGGCGCACACTGGACTGCCAGAATAAGATACTACTCAAGACATTGTGAAGTGGACGATCTCGATGGAAATGGTCGCTCATCTGAGTCCTTGCCATACCTAGTCGAGCGCCAGTGCCCACGACGAGAGACGCCCCCGCAGCTGATTGAGATCGATGAAGTGGAACCTGAAGCCGAGCACCAAGCCGTGCCATGCACCCTCATCATGACGAGAGGTTATCCCCACATCATTCGTGCGTAGTCCCTCCACAGCTGCTGCAAGCACCACATGGTGTCCTCCTCTACGTGTTACCTCCTTAACTGGAAGGCACTCTCAGAACCTAACAGGCATACAATTATAATGGCAAACAATCAGGAATGAACAGCAGCAACACTCGGCAGCGTCCTACTCGAATTTGACGATACATGCGTTTCCTTACACTTGAACAAGGTACTCATCGTCGATGGAATCTGCTTCAACCTCCTTTCTCAAGGGAAGTTGACAGAAGCGGGCATTTACTTTAAGAGTGATGCCGACTGCATGCTTTCTGAACTGTACCTACGCACCAAGAAAGTCGAAGCAATCTCATTAGCCTTTGAGACGCACGATGGCATCTCGCCACTTTGCTTCAGCCAAGAGTCTTCTAATGGTGACAGTCAGCGCGTCGTCTCTCTCACCCAGTGGCATCATCGCGGTGAGATCAACCTCAAGATGCTTGACCATCGCGACTTCACCACCTTTCGCGCAACACCTCAACCATCCTACCCGGCTTCATTCGCACCCGAATCTGAAGTTTCTGAGGCTGCTCCCACATTTGCACAAGGTTGAAGAGCAACAGAGGAAGGGGGATGGGGAGCAAAATCAGTAGGGGGATGGGGATCAGGGTCAGCAGGGGGATGGGGATCGGCAACAGAAGGGGGAACAGGAGAAGCAATCGAAGGAACATGCGCATCAGCGACAAAACATATGGCAACGCTCAAGCATGGGATCCATCCGATGAATACGAGCACATCGCGGCTCACATCGATGAACCCGTCGTGGTAAATAACAACTGCAAAGCTACCTTCTACATTGTCCCTGACGTTGCTGCTTGCCTTCACATCGACGTCGCTCCTTCGTTCGCCACTGCAAAAGTAGCAGGCTTCGCACAGTCTCTCCCAGCCGCTGGCAATTCCAGTCCCGTTCCTCGCCACCATGTCACACCTGCGTTCTCGTCAACTACGACATGTACCCTCATAATCACCAAGTGATTTGGTCGCATCAACAATGTTCATCAGCAAATGAGCAAGCACTTTGAAACACCATGAGTCACTGCAGCTTCTCGTGTGCTGCATTCACATGTTCATGTACGGTGCTTTGTCTAGGCATTTCTATGCAATAACGGCATTCGGTTGGCATGCCAATCATGTTCATGCTGTAGGGTGTTGTAGCCAGGTTGCGGATGTAAGGCCCCTAAATATGTATAATCATTGCCTACCGATTTGAAACATTTTGCACCGTACTAAACCAGCTCGATTGGTGTTGCAAGGTAGAATCCGTTGCAGTGTTTTCACCACCATTCCTTCCATCGTAACAGTAGCGAGGGCATCGTCACATTTTCTCCCGTTTCCCCCATCACATTCCCCTCGTCCCTCCGTTGCCTCTTTCCGCTCCAGCATTGGCTCTTGTTCAAGAAGCTTTACTTGCAAAGATTGTTTGTTGGTAGTAAGCCATGTTTCTCTTCCGCCTCTTCGGAGTCAACCGAGCGGAGGCACCACTCGTACCGTCCGATCTGTTGGAGTGGTTCCGCCACCCACGACGGATTACTCGTGACTTGGGGAGACGGAAGGAGAAGTGCGGACTAGGGAGGAGAAGGAGTTGGGAAAGGAGGAGATTGCATGAGCGTGCGACGCACGGAAAAATGGGGAAGCGAGAGAGAAGCAAGAGAGAAGGTTGGAGGAAAGAGTGATGGGGTGGAAGAAAAGGAAAGGAAGTGGCGAGAAACAAATTGACGTGGGTCAAAAGTTGGGTTTCGGACGGGGCGTGTTCAACAAGCATTCGGACTTCGGACCAGTGGCATGTTCAGCAAGAAAGTCGCGGTTGCGTGTGCTACTTGGCATGACACGAGGCGCGCGAGTTACTTGCAGCTCAAAGGCAGTTACGATGCGCGAAATTTGTTATGAATAATAACTGAGAGTGCGCGGAATAATAATGACGAGTACAAGAATGGGATCCTAGCATTATATAGCGAGGACTCTAGCTAGGCGACGAGCCCGGAGGGCTAGGTTGGATACAGGCGCGGTCGAAAGGGCCAGAGGCGGCACGAGCCAGCCTCGGGGTTGCGTCGGAATCGGGCCGAGCCTGGTCTTCCGAGAGTTCGGGTGTACGCAATTACAGTACAGCCCGGTAAGGAATAAAATTCCTTACACTACCCCCCCTCTTAAGCAAGGTGGTCAATATCGAGAATGCCTTTTTGGGACAAATAAGATTTGAGCACCGAGTGTTCCTGAAGCTAATCGGAAGTGACCCACGTGTCGTCTTAGCTTGTACAATCGGCCCAGCGGACAAGAACATCCACGTGGCATCCGGTGGTGTCGAGGCAAACACGATGACTCAAAAGTCAGAAAGGCTCAAGGGTCGGTTTGGCCATCGGGTGGAAACCGGGGACGACCGCTGATCATGCGACTGCTAATGTGCTGGCGACGTAGGGACAAAGGAGGCTGAC